TCTCTCCCTCTCATTAGGTAGATACCCTACTTACCGCATTACCATTGTTGACAGACAAGGCGTCCTCCCCTACCCCCGCTTCTGGGCCTCAACCCGCCCCTTCAGCACCCCTCTAGGTCCCTACTTTGTCAAGTGGGCCCTCACCCTCGTCATGATCCTCGCCCCACCGGCCGGTGACGCCTTCAACTTTGTCACCGACCTCAAGGTCTTCCCCGACGCCTTCTTCCATGTTCTGCTGGCGATAGGTCTGTACATCGTCCGCTACCGACGCAAACGCCTGGGTCTCGGCCGTGCTTCCTTCAAGGCATGGCACCCCGTCGTCATCTTCTCCATCATAGTGCACACGTACCTGCTCGTAATGCCGTGGTATCCACCCGAAGGCGGCGTTTTTGCTGGCGACGTGAGTTTCTGGTACGCGACCTACGTCGTTGCAGGCATCGGGATGTGAGTTTTTTTTTATTTTCGGTTTTATCTCTGGTCACGGAAGATAAAGAGGAGCTGACAAAGACCAAGCCTGGTCGGATGCGCGGTGTATTACTACCTATGGGTGTCGGTCGTGCCTAAACTCAAGGGATACCGCATTCGTCAAGAGGTGTTGGAGCTCGAGGATGGGGCGCAGAGCCACCGGCTCATCAAGGTGCTCGTTGGCGAGCTGGCCCGCTGGGATGCAACGCACGACGCGGTAGGGCGACCGCTGCGAGTGGGGGACACAGGGTCGGATGAGAAGGACGAGGTGGGGCTGAGGAGACGGGCCACGGGAAAGCAGCAAGACGTTGTCAGCGTTGACCCCGAAAAGTGATCGGGAGGCACGAAAGATCCGAGGTCCAATGGTGGAGCTCCACTTGCAAAGGCAGGCTCAGAGTCTAGGCCCATGTCCAGGATTGCACAGAGGCACGTGGTGTTGATTGTGACCGCGCCATGTCTGCATGAAACCGCAGCTGTTCGCCAGAGCCCAAAAAAAACCGCAGCGTAAAGCCAGAGTGTATCGCCGGCAGCACACGCGAATATCCGCTATGAAAACCTTTTCAGCGTCTTGGTTTTAGGTAATTCCCTTCGGGGCACGTTTTACGTGGGGGTCTCACTGCTCCGGCTCGCCGGTGCCATGTGCCGGCGCAGGCCGCAGACGCGGCCCGCGGGGTACAGGGTAGCTTCGGCCTCGATTTTCTGTTTTCACCCCGCTCGCTTTCTCTCAGCCGGTGTCTGGCTGCATGCAACAAACCCCTGTCCAAGAGCTTGCCAATCTGGCACACGACACTGGGGCAGATGTGAATGACGGGCGGGGGCATCTGAACTATATCGATAGTAAAGTGTCGCCCAGTCGACGGCGTTGTGGCATGCATATAAGCGATGCTAGTGCGAGCTAGAGTGCGGCCGAGCTGATAAGATCCTAGACGGCGAGCCATGCCAGGGATAATGGAGAAAGAGGGGAAGACAGAGCACGGTGAGGTTGGGAGACACCATCAACAAACAAGGCCCGAGACAGGCAGGGACATGCATCTTAGATATTCGGCGTCAAGTCCGGGCGGCCAGATGCAACGATGAGGCTATCGCTATCGGGCAAATCAGGCTGACTGGGAAGAACCGAAGCATCTGCTGTGAAACCACCAATCTGGGAAGGATCTGGCCATCTTCACCAATCGACGAGCACTAGTGTCTCTCTTTAGCCCGTGCACCGCGTCATGCTGCATCAAGGATGCAGAGCTTGCAGTGATAAGGCGATAAGGAGGGGAGAAGTTGCATCCATCCAATCGATTTCCCCAGCCGGGGTGCGCTATCCGTATCGGATGGCCACACTCTGCCCGTTCGGCTCGCCATCTCGATGCGTGTAAGCTGGAGGATGAGACGGAGATGGAAGCAAGGTTTCGTACTTGCCAAGCCACAACAAAGTCAATGGCCATTGTCCAATGCCGCCGCAGAATCGCCTGGGGACGTGATCCAACACCGAGACCTTCCCGGTGTCGGCATCGCTTGGTCTTGGAGGAAAAACGTTGAGAGAGACCCGCTGCAATGCGCCCGTCCTGCGGCTTGCAAATGACGGTTGCAGCGGCTTGCCATATTGGGAACACGGCCTGCCCGCGCTTCGCTCGGGGGCTGGAACGGTCTCGCGACTCCTGGCCTGACCACTTGGTCGTTCCCCCCTCCCAGCACGCCTGGATTTTGCCACCCACCCAAGGAGCAGGCAGTGGAAAATCCCATCCATCAGGTGGCAAAGCCCGTCACTGAGACTTGAAAGAGACACAGAACTTACTTGGGAGAGCCATTGGACCCTCTTGACCGTCTTGTATCAACAGTTCTGAACCGCAATGGCTGACAACCACGCAAAACAAGATATTGATGATGAGATCATGCCGTCTTGCGTCCAAGTGGAAGATGTGGACGAATCAGCGCCCCTTCTCGCCTGTCAACAAGCAAAGCCGGCCTACGTGACATTCCCAGAGCCTCTCCATGAGGACTCGTGGAAGCCATCCGCCGGCTTCTGGTGGATAGAAGTTGGTAAGCGACAGATCACCAAACACAGGCTTTTCCGGTAGCTGACCGTGAAAGCTCTCTGGGCCAACGTCTTTCTGTCCGGATTCGACGGCACGATTACAGCTTCAACTTACGCCGCCATCAGCTCCGACTTCAACGCCGCAAACAACGCGGCATGGCTGACAACATCTTACCTGATTACTAGCACAGCCTTCCAGCCCTTGTATGGCCGCTTTTCCGACCTATTTGGGAGGCGTGCTTGTTTCTTCATCTCGACCATCACCTTCATGATCGGCTGCTTCGGCTGCTCAGTAGCTCGAAGCATGATCGAGCTCGATCTCATGCGGGCTTTGACGGGATTTGGCGGCGGAGGTCTGATAACCATGGGTGCGTGGGCTCCCACAGAACAGCCGCCGCAAGAGGCACTCGCTGACCCCCAGTACAGCCACTGTCATCAACTCGGACATGATCCCCTTCAAACGAAGAGGCTTGTATCAGGCCATGCAAAACATCCTTGTGGGCTTCGGTGCCGTGCTTGGGGCTTCTCTCGGGGGCGTCATCGTTGACAGTATCGGCTGGCGCTGGTGCTTCCTTCTCCAGGTCCCCGTCTCGGTTTTTGCTCTCATTGTGGGCTACAACGTGCTGGAAAACCCTGAGCACACTGTGATGAAGTTGCACCCCAAAAACCGGCTCCGTTCCGCCCTTCGACATGTGGACCTGTCCGGAGCCCTGCTGCTCGTCGTCGGCCTGGTGGTGCAGCTGCTGGCTTTAAGCCTCGGTGGAAACGAATATTCCTGGGGCAGTGGGCCAGTCGTTGGGACTCTGATCGCAAGCGCATTATTGCTGTTTGCCTTTGTCTTTGTCGAAGCCAAGACTCGAGCAATTCCCATGATCCCGCTTCGAATGCTCAAGGGCTGGCAACCAATTGTTGTCCAACTGACCAACGTCTTCGTTGGCATGGCTTCGTATGCCGTGAGTATCGCCCCCAAACCCCTCCCAAATCCTTATTGCTGATACAAGGCAGTACATGTTCATGATCCCGTTGTATTTCCAGGCCGTTCGTGGTGATTCCCCATCCACTGCCGGCATGCGTCTGATTGTCCCGGCCCTGGCAACGCCCGTCGGCGGAGTGATCGCAGGGACAATGATGCAAAAGGGCTTCCCATTGTGTATGAACGTCCGCATCGGGACGGCCCTGATGCTCCTCGGAAACGCCTTGGCTTGTATGTTGGGGTCGGGAGTAAATCGGTGGCTGGAATTCGTGTATCTCGTGCCTGCGAACCTCGGGCTCGGCCTAACAAACCCCAGTGTGCTGTTTAGCTTCGTGTCTCTCTTTGAGCACAGAGGTATGGAACCTTTTGCCTCTGCGAGACCGAATTGGGCTGACTCACCTCTTTCAGAACAAGCAGTAGCTACATCCACGGTCTACCTGATTCGTTCTATGGGAACCATCTATGGTGTCACTGTCACCTCGGCAATCGTGCAGAATGTGTTGATCTCCAGATTGCCGGAAACACTAGGAGCGGATGCAACAGATGAGGTAAGGCTCCCATCTTCTGGACATCCGGTCGCGGTTGTCGTGGCTGACATTTTCTGGACCAGCTGATCGACAAGCTGAGGAAATCGGTTTTTGCGCTTCGGGAACTCGAACCAGCCGTCGAGATGGCTGTACGCGCACTGTACGGCGACGCATTGAGGATAGCCTTTGCGGCATCGAGTGCATTTGCGTTGCTGGCCTTTATCTTTTCTTGGGCTCACCGGACGGGCGCCATGCAGCGAAAAGGTTGAGGCGTTCGGCTGGGAGGGGTGACTTCGTGCTTCCACAGGTTGGATGACGACGCGGTATAGCCATCATGGTGCGCAGTTTCCGCCAGAGGTTGGACGTTGGAACGAGTGCTGTGCATTGGGATCGTCGACAAATCCCACAGCGGAGAGGGTTGTGGGTGTGTATGATTGAAACGCCTTGGATGATAGAAATGTCGTAATGAAGCATTTGCCGTTCTGGATGGTTGTTCTGTCTTGTGTGATATGACGATGGAAACGAAGAACGATGGACCTTTGATGGGGAGCTTTAGGGATGAAAGGGGGCAGGTGCGAGGTGGTGTTTCGCCCTGGTTCGTTTGTCGTCAGCCAGCCGAAAATGGCGTGCGCGCGGGCAAGCTCGCAACAGCCGCTGAGTGAGACAGGTCCCCCACGAGCCACGGTCAAGCACAAGTGACCAAATACGGAGGGAACTCAATCAATTTTTATCGCTTGCACTTTAAGGGCTCATCATGAAAAATGTCAGCCAAAGCAAAAGATTGTCATGACTGGACGTGGTGAAGTTGTGTGACCCTAACCCTGCTTCGCACGGTCAACCCCTGTTGTTTTGATCAACCCGGTTTTGTAGCCTCAGGCACCAACAGACCCCGCCAAAACTTCGCCAGAAGGAACCCCGCAGGTGAGGAGTCAGCGCACCTAACCTAGACATAAGGTGCTTCCCCGACCCAATTTTCCACCAACCGACTACGGCTCAGGTCCACTTGAGCAAGTCTTCCGTAGTATAGTGGTCAGTATGTGAGCTTGTCATGAGACTTCGCTCGAGACCCGGGTTCAATTCCCGGCGGGAGAGATCATATTTGTCTTTTTTTTTTTTGCGTTGCTCCCATCCTTATCGTCGTCCTTATCGGAATGTCGTAATCTTTCCGAAGTTGCCAGACACGCCCCAGATTCCCCTCCCGCAAACAACTGAGCTGCACGATCTGCGAATGGTCGACGAAGAGGTTCACATCGACACCACACTCGCGCACATACCAATTGAAGACTTTTGGGTCGGCTGCTTCAAACATGACTTTTTCCTTAGGCAGGTCCCGCAGGATTTGCTAGATGACATCGGTGCGCCACTTGGTCACGTTCTCGGTGATGCCCTCACTTTCAATCATGATGCGCTCAACACCGCCCTCGCCGATGAATCTCTTGCTAAAGTTCACCACCTTTGACGGATCGGATGTGCCCATGCTTTCCAACTCGGCTACCTCGGTATCGCCGCCGGCGCCAAACTGGATTCCGATCTCGGGCTTCCGGTGGGATCGACAGAAATCCGCGTAATATCTCAATGATGTCATGTCCAAGGATTTGCACTTGTTCAGGTAGCGGTCCACGGCTGTTTTGGCGTCTGATTGAGTGAGGATATACTCGACCCAACCGCCCTGATCCTGTGTCAGCCACGTTCGCCGAGCCGAGAAGCCAAGATTGACTCACCGTTGACACATACATCGTATTCATGTGCCAGGTCAATCAACTCACGCAACTTGTCTTCCAGGAACAGAGAGGAAGAAGAGCCGCCAGCAAACTTGAGACCATCGGCGTGATGACCCATCCTGCAGCCAGGCCAGCTTTGAGTGGCGGTTGAGAGGCGCAGTCGAACGTTTCAAGGACATCCTGAGGATACCGCTTCCCCCATGGGAAAATAGTATGGTCGGCGGATTTCGGTGGCGCCGATCTTTCTCGCCTTTGGCGGTCGGGTGTTGCGTCGAATGAATCCAAACCCTTTCTCATCCTCCAACAAGATCTTTGGCCCCTTGGTTGGGGTGGAGGAGGAAGCAGAAGCGTCGGTTTGGCGGGATGTGGAAAGGGTTCTGAGGCGGGTGATGGTCGCCGCGGACGTCGGGGTCACTGCATCTGCTCCTCGACATGCAACTCCTCGGATCGGGGAGGGCAAGGTGAGACTCGGCAAAAATTGAGGGAGGCCGTTTGTTGGGCACAGCTGTCTCTCATGTAAGCATGAGCAAGACGGAGAGAAGGCAACCACGCAGAACAACGGAGCAATCGGTCACCAATCAACAAAAGCAGTGCGTCAATACATTTAATTGATAACGCCGCTAATGTCAAACTAGACGTACAAGCCCTTGTTCCAATGTCCAATGTCCCAAGCCATCCAATTCCAACCAAAACCCCAACTCCAAAATCCAAGAACCCTGCCCTGCCATGTCCAACCTTGTCATCAACTCATACGCATCCAATCCAAACCAATGCCTGTTCTCCAACCCTACTATGCCGACATCCCAAATCAAGGAGCCTCTTTAAGTGGTGTCTGGTCAGTAACAGGATACGTCGGCGGAGGTGGCGTTGACTGAGGAGTCGGATACATCTCCGACGACTTTATGCCTGGAGGGTGAAAGACAGGCAGTGGTGTTTGGACAAGGCCGTACGGCTGCGGCGGGTAGTACATTTGCTGCGGCGGGAGATGTTGTTGCTGGTAAGCTTGTCCCTGGTCGAACTGTGGTTGAGCCGGCGGGTATGCGGAGTACACGGGCTGCATCGGCACGCCGGGATTGGCCAAGACAAAAACCTTTTTGCGGTTTCGCACATTGGTCTCGTAGCATGCGATGACGAATGTTGTGAAGTGGAGGATGCTTCGATTCCTCTGTTAAGCATTTGATGGCTGCAAGTTTTCTGGGGGAGGACCACTCACACGAGAACAGCGCAAATCCCAAGCATTGCCTGTCCCTTACCGGCTATTTCCCTGGCTGAGTAGTACGCATCGTTGTACAAGTCATCGTACGACGAGAAGTAGCTGTACGAGCCGATCGCCGACGATGCCAGGCCAAGAAACCACAGTGCAACACAGACGCATACCAGTGCCAGCCAGAGCAAGAGATCAAGGGCGACGTTGGCGCCGGGGTGGATGCCGCGGTGGCCGCCCCTCGTCACGATGCAGATCCCTTCGGCGACGTTCCATGCTAAAGAGACGAAGCCCTGACGAACCGAGCCGTTCATTAGTCCTCCATGTTCAAAACTCTCAATCAGCACATAACAGAGCAAACAAAACACACCGGTGGTCCCACAACCAGGAACGGCAACGACGAAAGAAACGATGTCGCCAGTGACCCAGCCAGGCCAAGAAGCGCAATGCCAAAAATGATCATGACGCCCCGAAGACCAAGCTTGGATATCCACATCCCCTTGGGGGAGACATGCGGTGGAGCGGCGGGCTTGCCAGTTTCCATTTCGATGTCCGGCGGAGAATGAAACGAACGACAGCAGACAAAGAGAGGCAAGCAGAACCGTGAGAACCCTAGGAAGTCAAGTCAATCAAATCCGGGGCATCATCGACTTTTTACATCAAGTCCTCCTAATAACCCCCAAAGTCCAGAACCTCAGCCCGACGGCTGAGATTCGTACCCCTGAATAAAAGGGGAAAGTGGCGCTCAATATCGAGGCTCTTCGGCAAGCCCCATGGCTTCTTTTCGTCGCCGAATCTTTGCAACGTGGCTGTGATAACCGACGAGGCTTACGGCGCCTATCGGGAATTACCTATCACCCCCGTGGTGGCTTGGTCTGGAGACTTTTTTCAGCCCTAGACCGATCGGGTCTGACCTAACAGCGTGGGGGCGTTTTTGGGGTGTGGTCCAACAATGCAATTGTTAGGGAGGTGTGTCGAGATGGCTGGCGGAACGGGGTCAAAGAGCCAGCCACATTGTTCAGCTGCGTGCCGTGAAACAGTTACCAAAATGGCCAGGACTTTCAGGGGTTCCAATTCGATGTCGGAAGCTCAATGAGAGCATGAGCAGCCCGGAATATTTACGGCTGGTTCCGGGCTGCGTAGGAAGAGACCTAATTATGTAGATATGCTCGACCTACCGGTACGATGGAAGGCCTTAATTTCGCCTCCATGCACCTTTGTAGAACTCTACAAGCACTAAAGGTCGTGGTCATGTGCATCTTCAACCGTCTTGAAATCCACATCACCCACCATCTCGTAGTCGCCCTGTGTCCGTCCTACGCTGTATCTCACGGGTGCTAGTGAACACAAAGTAAGCCGTTTCAAGATGCTCCATGTGATGATGTGTAGGTCAAATCTTGTTTCGGCATGAGAGAAAACTCAAACTTAGAATGAGGAGACCAGAACGAAGCCCCGCCGATGAATTCCTAGTAAAAAACCAATTACATAGTTCCTGATTCCAAATTGGGCCCTTTCCTTGATGCTAATCCTTACCCAAAAAGTCCTGTAAAAATTCTTGCCTGACGCCGCGTTGTTTCGAACCTAACTCCCACATGTCAATCCGGCAGCGTTAATTCATTGCACGCAGTGAATGTTCCCTGCCCATCTCATCTGCGGCCGCCGCGACTGGCTCTCCTCTCCGCCAGTCGACTGTTGGCTCGACCAACCCAGTCGCTGTTTAAGGAAAATTCATCCGTTGAAGTGACTAGTTCAAATCAGTCTAATGTTCCTTTGTAAGAAGGGTTAGGGATCGCTTACCCCTGTGTCCATACAGCCTTATTATCTCATCCATCGTGTAAGATCGCGCGTCGTGTCCTCGGCACGTCTTGTCGTTCTGGAAATGGTCAATCGCCGGAGACTCTTGAAATCCCGCGATTCCCGCGAGGGGGTTGACCGAGAATTTGGTCTTGTCGCATCGCAGCACAAACCAGCCAGGGCCAAGTGAAGGATACGCAAAGATGAATTCCTCGCCGTCGACATCCCGGCTGCTGACGTCTGCGTTTTCCGTTCTGACAAAGGACGGAGTGGGGCTGGTCATCTTTGGCTTTTTACGGGCCGTCATAGGGCTGTTGTTTGCACTTGTGCGTTTGGCCTGGATTGGCACGGCCGTGGTTAGTTGGGCTAGTGTAGTGGGACTGAGACTTACCATGAGCCCCAGCTTCTTGACCGGTTCGCCGGTGGCCGATGTCGACAACGACAGACTGGGCTTCTCCGTCGAGGCTTCGAACGACGGCGCACATTCAGCAATGGGCGTCGCCAGCGGCGTCTCAATGCATCGTCTGTTGCCGGCGTCTGATCGACAGCCAAGTCGCTCGAAGATGGCGTGGTAGGACGGCGGCGTGATGTTTTCCATATCGGGGCCAATGACTTGGCGGGCGCGGTCTTCGCCCTCGACCGTCCTGAGGGTTGCAAAAATGATGCGTCTTCGCCGGTCAAAGGTCGACATGGCGCGCTGAATGGTGTCCCATGCCTCCTTGATGGTCTTGTCGTGGGCATCGCACTCGCGGTGCAGCTCGGTCGCAATCCTATCCTTGAGCTGCCGGATCGCCGCCTCCCGCAGCTCGTCAGCAAACTGCTGATCGATCTTGGCCTCTTCATCCGCCATGATTGGGACGAGAGATGAGCGAGGTTGCGCTCAACGCGAGTGCCGAGAGTGTGATGTTTGTCGTTCAGTTCAGATGAGATGTCGCCCAGGCCCCAGTTTTTTTTTTGACGTCTTGGCGGAACTGGGATGCCTTGGAGCTGCGACCTGCGAACGGCTGTCAGCCAATCGACCGCCGCCACAGCGTGTGGGCAGGGGCTGGCCACTCGTCGGCGGTGACTAGGCCTTGTTGGCGCCTGCTTCTCCTGGATCCATGCGTCGGGGGGGGGGGAAGTCGGCGACAGCCAAATGGAATGCCTTCCTGCGTGTGACGGGTGGCCATGGGTGTGGCAGCGAGACGGAAGTTCGTTTGCATGTGGAGCCCAAGCTCCGCGCCCAACCGTCTGAGTTGAGGGGTAGAGAGAGTAAATCAATTGGCTGGCTACCGTCCCGCCGTCCAGCTTCCTGGAAGCTTCTCTTTTCGAGTGCTGACCTCGAGTGACATCACTTTAGCGTCATAGTTTCACGTGATGCTGAACTGGTTGGT